CCTGGGGGCTAGGGGCTGGGACCTGGGGTGGGCTCCACCAGGCACTTGGGGGCTAGGGGCCTGATGGCCTGGGGTGGGCTTCACTGGCTCTGGGGAACTGCTCCACTCCCCTGCATTGCCTTAGGGAGTGAGGAGGCATGTGGCATCAGGGCTGGGGAGTGAAGGGATTGCTGTAATTCAGGGGCGGGCAATTATTTTGGCTGGAGGGCCGCTTAATGACTTTTGGTGAGCTGTCAAGGGTAGCCCTGCCCCACAACAGGTGCCCCACTCCCTGGTCACCATCTTGGGACTGGAAGTCCCTGCCCTAACCCCTGACCTTTGCCACTGGAAGTCTCTCCCATTGCCCCAGAAGTACTCCTTGGGGTGGAGGGGTTACCATCTTCAAACTGAATAAAAACTAAATTGTATTCTAAAAATCACACATCTACTATAACATCTTTTATTTCAAAAAATATTTTTGACCTGATTTGTGTGCGTTTCATTGTGTATATAGAGGTGATTGCATAATAGCTCAGAATGAATTCTTACTCTTGTACATTGTGGGGTGTGTGTGGGGGGGCATGGGGAGGGGTGTGGGGGTGGGTATGGGGTTTTTTGGGTTGCTGTGAGTATGGGTTGTGTGGGGGCTTGTGTGTGGATGTGGGATGTGAGGGTGGGCACTGTGCAGTTCCTGGCTGGAATGTGGGCTTGCGGAACTGTGGCTCTGTGCCTCCATGTGTGGCTCCCAGCTAGAGTGCCAGGAACCCTGTGAGCTGGCCTAGCCTGATGGCATGGGATTCCCTATGGCTCCTGGCACTAGCGTGCCATCGGGCTGGGCTGGCTCTGTGTGGGTCACGGCATTATAGCTGGGAACCGTGTGCCACAGGACCAGTCTGGCGGGTTTTGTGCCATGCTACACGGACCCTGATGTTGCAGCTGGGAACTGCATGGTGTCTGGAGAGGATGGGCCAAGCTGAGTCAGTTTAGTGCGATGCTTCTGGGAACTGCATGGTATGGGAAGATGCCCGGTTGCCTCCATGCTGTGCCACGGTCCTGCTGCATTCTGCGGTCCTGACATTGCAGCTGGGAACTGCACGCTGCTGGGAGGTGCCCAGTCAGGCCAGGCCAGCTCTGTGCCACGCCACACTGTGTGCGTCCCTGGCATTGCAGCCGGGAACTGTGTGGCATGGCATGAAGCTGGCTGGCTTAGTAAATGTTTCTGGGTGGGAGCCTGCCCCCACCCTCTGCAGCAGCCAAGGGGAGCTCTAGACTCCACCTGGGTGCTAGATCAGGGGCTGGCAGGAAGCCTGGGATCAGGAGACAGATATCTTCTGGCGGAAGCTGGGACATTGTTCCCTGGCTCTGGCGTGCTGCCTGCTGCTGGGACAGGCTCTGTCACCAGAGCCCAGGCAGAAACAATGTCCTTCTTCCCTGGCAGCAGGGAACTTCTGGTCCTGGCTCCCCAGTCAGGGGCAGGGGACTTGAAAAGAGCTGCAGAGGAGGAGCAGGTCCTAGCTCCCTGCCCTGATCTATCTGTGGGGCATCTAGCAGTGATTCCCCCAGCTGGGCAGGGATTCTTCACCCAGCTGGGGGCTCACTGCTGGCTGCACCACTGGCAGATCAGAGCAGGGGACTATTTCCAAGCCCCACATCTTGATCACCCAATCAAGGCATGGGACTGGGACCTGCCCCTGACCGGGGTGGCTCCCAGCCCCAGTTCCATGATCATGGGGCAGGGGCTGGAGAGCCTGTTCCCTGCCCAGCAACATGATCACAGAACTGGGTGGGGAACAGGCTAGAGATCCTGTTCCCCACCCAGCTCCATGATCACTGCAGGCCTTGGGCTGGGAGATAAGGATCTCCCAGCCCCCTGCTCCCCAACTGCGATGGCAAAGTGGGGGCTGGGAGATAAGGATTTCCCAGGCTCTGCTTTCCGATCATGATCTCGGAACAGGGGCTAGAAGCTCCCTGCTGCCAGGGCAAGGGGACATAGTTCCCACCTGGGCTCCGGTTGCAGAGTCTGCGTCGGTAGCAGGCAGCTCCCAGGGGCAGAGAGCAATCTCTCACCCCAGGGGCTGGGAGCAATCTCCCACTCACTGCTGCCTGGCTGACTGGGAGCACATTTACTCCCAGTCAGGCATCTATCTGAGTGCTACCGCACAGTAATAATCAGAAGTAAATTTGCTACTTGCATTTGCAGGTAGCAAATGTACTCACGATTGGGGCAATTTACTGCACAGTAAGTGTGTGCACACGTAGAAGCTCATGCTTACTATACAGCTTACTATACTATACTGCGCAGTAAATTGTCTCATGTAGGTGCACCTTCTCAGAATCTTTTCTAATGGTAGTTTTGAAGTATGAAGACAAAATAAGGGTCTTCTTTCTGTAGCACACAAGAAACCCACCTATGTGAAGAAAGTGCTTCCTTTCTTATAATTCCCCATCATATGCAGACTTTGAAAGTTGTAGCTCTCTCCATCTAGGTTACTTGGGTAAGAGAATTACTGAAATTCATAAGTGCTCTTTTCTGTTCTTGCTCTTGCATATTTTTCCACTCTTTGGATAAACTGTAGCGGGATGGCATCCATATTTTTATATCCAGGTTTTGGAGAAGAAAATTCCCTTTTGTTGAACAGCACTTATACTACATCAGATTTATACAGGAAATACAGGAAACATAAGTTGTATGGTACTTGAGGCCACTTCAATACAATTTTGAATTCTCTTTGATCCTTTAAATGAGGTTGCAGCATGCAAAGAAGGCCACCACCACTGTTAAAGTTAGAGCTGTTGTACATTTGTAACATGGAATTTATTAATTAGCTTAATTAGCTCAGATATCCTTTTTGATGTGCCAGGTATTCTTTCTTTATTTCCCTCTATCTTTCTTTCTTTCTTTGTTTTGAAGAAAAAAAGAGTTGTGATGGCTTCTGTGTGGTCAGGAAGCCCTGGACTCCAAGATTCAGTTGTTTGTACGGTGGGCAGGAAGACAAGCAGAGATTCTGTATTAATATTCCATGTTCTGTAATATTTTTCCTCCTTTCAGGAGGTGATACTCTTTCTTTAACATGTATTGAAACTTGTTAATTCTGATTTACTGTTCCATCTTGGTGGTCTACATAATTTTAGGCCCCTGTCAGGGAAAAACATGGTATTACTCTGACCATGCACCTTTATCTGTCAGTTGTATAATTAGGTGGTAACTTCTTTGAGCCAAAGGCCTATATTATACATGTCATATATGAAAGCCCCCAACACATCAAACCAAACCAACAATGAAAAAAACCCCATGTACAGATTGCTTTTGGGTAGTATTCAAATAGCATTTTCTAATGCTTTGCCTTTTGGTACCACCCATTCTGCCTACGACAAAGCCGAGGGAAGTTGCTTGCTATTTTATGTATGAAATTTGTTAGTGGAAATCTCAACAATAATAATTAGCTTTACACTGCAAAACTTTGCCAACCAGTTTGTCTGATAACCCTTCTGGACTAAATATTGTAGCAGACAGTGCTATCTCCACTTCCCGTAGCTATACCCTGCTTCCCGTGGCTATATCCTTGTTAAACACCTGTAGAACCATTGCACATATTGTGTATTCTGAGACTTGTGGTGTAACTTGTGGGAATATAAAACACATTCCATAGTCCTCCACCTTGTTCTGTGTTCTCTCACAAACATCATACAATTTTCCATTATTAAATACATGCCGTGTAGCTATGTGTCACATGTTTTTAGTAATTAAGGATTTGGCCCAAAGTATTTTTATTTTACTATGTAAAATATGTAGTTATTTCTATTGTGTTTGTTTGATTTCAGAAGGGTCATTCAGTAGGTAATACTACCAGGACACTCTGATGCTAAGAGCATTAGTACTACTAATAGATGTATAAGTAAACATGGTAATACACGGGATGAGGGAAAAAAGATATAAGGTTGATAGTTTCATGAAACAACTAAGAACACATTACAGAATGCTCTTGGGGAAGTTTAATACTTTATCGAAGCCTGACCTTGAATATGGGGCTTTTCAAACAGTTCCAACGTGCCTAAGAAATACAGAAGGAAAACTGATCCATCGAATTATGAATATTTTTCAATAGCTAGTTTCCTAAGGCTTAGTAAATTTCAGAGCATTGTTTGTTGGCTACTACAGCAACGTCTTATTGGACAAAATGAACTCTCTTATTTGAGGAACTCTTCAAAAATGCCTCAAATAAGATAAATGATAACTCATAAGAAAAAAAATCATCCCCAAAATATTTTAGATAGATTGATCAGTGATTACTGTTTCGTTTACTGGGATGGACTGTGTAAACAAAGGAGTTCTCTGACTTTAAAATTCAAGGTAAAATGTTTGTCTGTGACATATGTCACATTCAGAGAGAAAATGTAAGCAATTAGGAATAAGTCTGCTTGGATTTAGTCTGTTTTTTGAAAGTAAGTCTACCTTTATAGATTGCACTGAAAGTGACTACGTGTGCATTTGTTTGGGCAAACTGCAATCCATTCACATTATAATTGTATGATTTAACATAGAGCTTTGCATTTTGATTCAATTTGTTGTAGAACAAAACTAGAATGAATAACCCTCAAAGGAAGTGAAATATTAACAGGAAAAACAGATCTGTGCCAAATGATAACATACGCCATGGTACAGGTAAGTTAATAATTGACAAAAGAAAGAGTTTTTTTGTAATGTGCTAAATCATATATGTTGTCATCTAGGACATACCAGTTTTAACAGCTGTTTAAAGAATATTAGCGTATGACCTAGGCACTATTTTAAAAACTGGAACTAGAAATAATTGACACAAGGGTTCATTAGTTATTGCAGTCTGTAGAAGTTCATACATCCAAATGTGAAACAGTACCTTATAAGTAGAAAAGCATGTGATTGTGGCTTGCCATACAGTTTATGGAGATAAGTTACGTCACAAAGCTTTCAGTAATGGAGAGAGTAATTCATTTCTAATGCATAGAGTTTGGAAATATGGGTAGAAAATCCAGATCTAAATTAAATAATCCAGGAGGTCCATTATCTCCCATGGGATTGGGTATGAATTTTCTGTCAGTGAAATGGGCCAGTGCAAGGTCCCATGTACCACTTCATCCCCACTTCAGGCCTGTGTTAGCAGCTTAGATAATTTTGAAGCCTCATGAGACCTTATACTTTGAGCCAGTTTCACCCCTAAGGAGGATCACCTAAACAGAGAGATCTGTTTCAAAACACCATTTCTTTTCTCAGTAATGTCCCTTTTTGAATGACTAAGGGATACTTAAAACTTGAATGACTCAGGGATACTAAAGGGATACTGTCCCTTTTTGAATGACTACATCATACAGAATCTATTTCCTCCCCTTTTTAAGAAGTGGTCAACATGGATACTTTTATGGGTTACAACAATTACTTTTATAGATACTATGGTAGGTACATGAAGACCTCCTTGAATATTCAGTTATCTAGTTTTACAGTAAACTTGTAGCGTGAACCCTAGCCCTTGTTTGAGGAGTACCAGATTTAAATTCTACAGTGATATAGCAAGGGTCTAATAGCTGCGTTGTTCTTATATGGGCCTAATAGCTGTGCTAATATGGTGTGGGACTAATAGCTGCGCTGTTGTTAAGCATAGAGAACCACTTCAGATTTACTAGCCCTTCAACAAGTGTCATCCAGTTCACCCTTTGTCTCTATGAGAAAGGGATGAATTATTTGTAGATCAGTTTTTGGGGTTCATTGATTTAAGTTGTTTTGAGACATAGCAGATGCATACAAAGTGTTAGAACTGTCACCATTAGAGCAATTCAGAGTGAAGGCATTTTTGCTGGGTCAAAGTAACTCAAGTCCTCTTTATTTCACTATTCAATATGGAATCAGGTAGGAAATGCACTTGCCGCAATTCTGATACCATCTACTTAGGTTCTGGGGCAAGGGAAAGGGTTTGATTGCGGAGAAGATGCTACACAACTGTCCAACTATCCAGGGATTGGTTGTGCCCCTCCTTATTATACAAAGGTACAGTTTTATGGACTGGAGTATGGCTAGCTACACAGTTATGTCCTGGCTTTATATCACTGTAGAGGTACAGAAGGAAGATTCAGATGCTTTTCTTCAAGCTGTTTGGGTGAGCAGTAGGCCTGTGGGAAGTGGCTAGTGTTCACTTTGGATTCAGCCAATTCAGGGGACAGTGATTCGATTTGGTGATTCAAATCACTGTCCCAAATCAATCTGGCTCAATCTGATTCAGAGATTCAGCCACAGCCGAATCGGTCGAATCTCCAAATTGGCCACATCCCCTGCCTGCTCTCAATGGTTGCCCTGCCTAGCCCCAGCTCCCAGCTCTTTAAAAAAAGCTCCTGCTCACTGGCTGCTGCCAGGTGGAGGTTGGGGCGTGATCTCCATTGCCCCCCACTGCCCTATGCTGCATGGGGGTCTCTGTCCCACCCCCGGCAGAATTCCCAAGGCCACTGCAGCAACCAGTGAGTGGGGGCTTTTTTTTAAAGAGCGAGGTGCTAGGGCGGGCATGGCACCCATGGGGGTGGGGCTGGGACAGTGGGCAGGGGTTGGGGGGTGCTCAGGGGGCCTGGGGGAGCGGGCAGGGGATGGGGCCTGGCAGGGATCCCCCCACGGTCACCTCCCACCTCCTCCAGTTCTCCCTCCTCCACCCACTGCTTACCAACATGGAGTCCAGGTCCAGCTCCCTGCTGCAGCAACCAGGGACTGCTCAAATCGCCGAAGCTCTCCAAATCTTTTCCGAATTGATCGGGGGAGCTTTGAATCAATTCAGACCTTTTAATTGGTCTCCTGATTTGATTCGGATTCGGAGATTTGGCCACTGAATCGGGTCGAATCTCCTCCTAATTGAATCAGCACCTGAGGCTTCACACAGCCCTAGTGAGCAGTACCATTTATGAGCAATATAAATAGTCTTCATTTCATATTGGTTAGTGTGTTCTCAAGAAAAGACTAAGAGGGCTGGAATACTTATCCTTTCATTTAAGCTTTTCTCCCATTTGTTTAATACATTTAGTATTTGGAACAATGTATCTTTTGATCCAGGGTTTTGTTTTGTTCCCTCCCCCACAAAGAACCTTTCCATGTATTAGATTTCTCTTAGGAGGCTGAAGTATTACCAGTGGCATTCTCAGTCCATAATAGGAACTGATTATTTTTCTCTCTAGGGGAACATAAGAAAAGCTCTTATTTTGCCTTTTACTTAATTGCCTGGGGTGCAAAGACATTTTAAGAAAATGACTATCCTGCTGGTATCCGTGCACCTGGAGTGATCATAACAGATCAGCAACAGCCTTGTCAGATTTTTCTGAACCAGAGAGGATAAGCTTCTAAATTGGATGCTTTGTGTTTCCAATTGACTTTCACTTTACACCTGTTTGAAATGTTTATTTTTAACACTTTTTTGGCCACTACATTCAGAGAAAAACACATGACTGAAAGACATACTCTAAAACGACACTGATGAATTATTTTCTGAGATTGCTTGAAAGTAGTTTCTTCCTGCCTCACTTTCCTGACTAAAAATAATAATATGAGATATTAATCATTATGATTAATATTTTTATTAATCATTAATAATACTGTGCCTCTTTTCAGTGGTTTCACACTAAAGATGTTTAATCAGCAGGTGGATTTTGAGCTATGAAACATATGGCATGGTATTTATTTCCTCAAATAGAGCTACTTTACTGTCCTTACATTTGCCTTGTTTAGTCCTGATTCCTAATAATACATTTACAAATGAAATTAGCTCTGCTTAATTTGCTGAGCATGAAACAGCAATCAGATAGCAGTGTCTTGGATCAGCCAATTTGGTCAAGTTTGGACTAGTTTAGTTGCCCTTGTCCCTGTTCTTGGTGGAGAGAAAGCCTCTTCCTAAAAACACCATCAGCTGAAATGGCTCCGGATAGCAGACTCAGCAGAGATGCTAACGTCTGAAGGGACAGGGAAGGTGAACCATATCCCCATACCCAAAAGGGAGTTCCACCAACCAGATTAGACTTGTTGAGCTTTTTCAAAACAGCAGGGAGTGCCATGGCTTGCACAGTAACTGTTTGTAGAGAGAGGATTGAAATATTCAGGGGTGTCTGTCCAGCCCCTTCAATGGCATTAAATTC